GCTGATGAGGCGTTGTCCATCTGCAACAAGGCACGTGATGCCCAAACAGCCTGCACTCCCATCTGACTGGCACCTTGTCACCAGCTTCTCATGTTGTCCTCTGGGCGGTCCCATCCAGTCCACAAAGATCAATGAAACATCAAGCTGTAGAGGCAAAAAGACTACTTTCAACAAAAAGAGAGAAGAATTAGTTTTCTCTTTAATAACACTTATGAATTGGTACATTTACCCATTTTTCCTTCTCCTGCCTTTGGGATATTGCAGACCCAGACCAATTTTATAACTTGAATTTGACCTGAAATCACTGTCACTGGCTCTATAGTCCTCAGATCCAGGAGTTGCTCTGACAGGCAGCTCTGCTCTGTCATCAATTTTCTAATTGGTTCTTTTTTTTTTTTTCCTCTGACAGGCATCTCTGGAGTATCATTCAATTTAAAGGAGTGGTGCCTGGTACAATGGGTCTGTTATTCAATTGAAACACAGCCTGCAACAAATTTACTTTTCAGTTTGTCCAATCATGTCTTTCAGCATTTCTTTTTTTTTTTTAACAGTTCATTCATTCTCTCAATCAGCCCAGCAGCTTTGTGGGTGATAAGGAAATATGATAAATCCATTCAACATGTTTTTCAGATGACCAGTCTTTCACCTGTTTTCCAGTAAAATGGGTCCCATTATCTGTTTGTATCTGAAGGGGACCCTCATAAAATTATTTCATCATACTAAGACATTTTAAAGCAGTGGCGGCTCCAGAAATTTTTTTCAGCAGGTGCTAAGGGGAGGCTAAGCATTTTACTGTGGGTGCTATGAAGGTTATTTTTCTTCCCTAGAGTTATCAACACAAACACAAGCACACGTGCACGCACACACACACACACACAGGTGCACTGAAAACTCTGACATCAGCAGTCACCAATACAGTGGATAGTGAATAATGTGGTACTCTGCAATTAATTTAAAGCATATACAAACGTGACACACTTGCCATATTTATAGATCTTAGTATGCAAACTGTTACAACAAATTCACATTGTTTCCCCAGATGTATCACATAAACAATTTCAGTCCACAATGCTGAATGCATTACAAAGTCAGAGAAGATTGAAATCATTCACTCACCATCAGAAGTCTTCATAACAGGACAATCCGCCTGTTATTGTGGTTGAGGGCAAAAGCATCAATAATCCTGTCACTGTCCAGGGTCCTGGTTCTTAAAGGATTGATAGCAAGAAGTGCCAGGTCACTTGTTCGACTGTCTCCGCTGCTGTTTCTTAGGTAGTTCTTCAAACGACGCAAACAAGAAAAACTGCGCTCACAGCTCACTGATGTTACTGGAAGAGTCAAAGATATGGATATCAGCTTATACAAGTCCAGGAATGCATCTTTGTAGGGCCGCATCACAGATAGGAAGTCTTGTGTGTTGTTGATTATAAGTCCCAGTTCTTCTTTCCTTTTCAGCAGCCGGCGAACCTGGTGGAGCTCAGCTGACAAGTTCTCCTCGTTAACTCCATGAAGACAGGCCATAGGCAGTATCCATTTTTTGTCAAGGAATGATGGGTGTTTGGGGTTTAGAGCTGGCAAACCTTTCAGTACTTCATTAGTTTCTGAAGAAAAACGCTGTTTAATTTCCATTAGCATCCTGTCTATAACAGAATAGAATGATTTTGTTTTTAGGTCATCCGTGCTGTCTGCACCTTTTCTTTCTATTGAGGCATCCACAATAAAGTGCTCTAGATGTTTAGCTGTTTGAGTCTGTCTTTTCTGCCGATGTACAGTCTCTGTTGCTATTCCTGTGTTGCTGCAAAGTTCTTCTGCTTCTTTTCTGAGTGTCTCCCATTTGTCATCTGTGCGTTTTTCTGTTAAAGCAGTTATTACAGAATGAGCCAGGTCATTTGCTGCTACTAGATCTAAATTAGGAGACTGTAGCTGATCAGACATGAATTTTGTTGTTCTGAAAATATCCTCAAAAATTACAAGATGCAGAACAAACTTCTTATCTATAAGTGCACTGAGAGCTTTAGCCTCCGTCCTCCTTTTAGCATTTTTCTGGTCAACAACATCGTGCAGCGTAGCTATAACAGCTGGGAGAGTTTTTTTGACAGCACGTATGGAATCATACTGGCACGCCCAGCGGGTGTCACTGAGTCTTTTAAGTTCTAGGCGCTGTACAGCTGACACAAGTTCTTCCTGCTTCTTAAAAAAAAGATCATGAACAACAGACCCAGAAAAAAACTTGTAAAGCATTTGCAATATCTCAAAAAAATCGGCTGCAGCATCAACATTATGTACACAGTCTACTAACACAAGATTCAGCCTGTGAGCATGGCAGTGAATGTACACAGCTTGCGGCACCTCTTTTCTCAACTTTTCTTGAACTCCATTGTTGCACCCGGACATAACAGCAGCACCGTCATAGCACTGTCCGACACAGCAATTTATATCAATATTACAACGACTGAGGGTCATTTTGATACAGTCAAAAAGTGAGTCTGCATCTAATCCTTCTGCTGGGGTGAAATGCAAAAATTCTTCCACCACCTTCTCTGAATCTGGCTGCAAATAACGAACAATAACAGATATTTGTTCTTTTTTGCTGATATCTTTACTTTCATCCACCAAAATAGCAAAGTGTTGAGCTTCTTTCACTTCATTGCTGATTTGTTTTCTTATCATTTCAGCCATAACATTAAATATTTCGTTCTGTATGTCATGATGAACATACTTAGCATTAGATGGATTAATTGTCAGCTTTTTTTGGACATTGGGATCAAATTTTCCAATCACATCAAGCATCTCACGAAAATTACCTTTGTTAGCTGAATCCTGTTTCTCACTGTGACTGCGCTGTGCGATTCCCTGACAAGCTGTGTAGCGCAAACTTTCTACAACACCCATCATGTACCTCCGGTTCTCCTGAACCAATGCAGAATGTCCTTTGTCGAGCATGTTGGGGAGTTTTGATCCACTCGTTTGTTTAAACTTGAATTCACTCCACGCTTCCATTGCAAATTTGTGTCCGGCGCTTTCATGATGGCTCTTCAATGACGCTGCTGCTTTCCGCCAGTTGTTAAAGCCGAGCGCGGTAAATGCTGGCTCAAGATGGAACCTGTGTCCTCCTTTTAGAAAATGCCGACAAGCAAAACAAAACACGGCATCTTTACTCACGCTGTATTCTAACCACAAATATTGATCGAGCCAGCCTTTACTAAAACTTCTCTGTTGCACTCCAAACAAGCGTGATGGGTATTTTTGCAGAAGTGGTCGTCTTGGTCCATCTTGAGGACTTCTGCTTAGATCTTCTAGCTGTCCAGTGCTAACACTGTTAGCATTCTCAGCAGCAGTGGAAGGATAACTGCACAGTTTATCTTCTTCATCCAGATTAATATTTCTTTGTTGGTCGGACTCTGCTTCCAAAAATGCATCCTTCTCAAATTCCATCCGTGGAACTTTTGGTTGCAAAAAACGATCCATATTTGCACAGCGTGTTCCTCTCAATTGCTTCCCGGAAGTAATAATACGCAAAGTTCAAATCAGGTTGAATTATTTTTTTTATTTTTATTTTTTACTGAAATTAGAATGGTTGATTCTTTTTATATATATTTGTCTTTAGAAGAAAATGCCACAACTACATATTTAAAATATTAAATTAGATGAAGAAAAAAATCTAAATATTTCCTGGGGGTGCTATGGAGGTGCTATAACTTTTCTAGGGGTAGCTATAGCGCCCCCTAGCGTCCCCCTGGCGCCGCCACTGTTTTAAAGTAGATGTCTGATTTGCATATTTACAAAGATGAGTCACCAACACACCTGAATATGTATCTACAGCCGTACATACATATCTACACCCCTGTGACATGGCAAAGGGCCAATGAAATCCGTTTGCCAGATCTGATATGGCCCCTTTTCCCCTTTTTGTCCCTGCATTTACTAATTGTGACCCTCTCTTCTAATGCTGCATGCTTCACATCGTTGTATTTGCAGTTTCATCATCTGTCTTGTTCTTACAACTAATCAAACAATTCTTCATACATAACCACTTCATGCAAAAAGTGTCAACAATTAACTTTTATTTATTAAAAAGGAATCTCATCAGTTTTTTCAAACTGAGATGTTAACTTTTTCCACAGAACCCCTCTTGAAAAGAGCTGAACTTTCACTTTAAATGTGAAACATCTGCAAAACAAGATGGTGAAATTCTTTTTATCTCAGATATTTTTGGATACTTCTAGAGTTGTTTTTAGATGCTGTCAAAACTATAGCTACAGGTAAACCATTTATAAACAACATATGTTGCACTCCCTTCAAAGCAACCAGCTTAACACATCCAAACAACATATTTATTTCTAGACATTTCAAATCCACCCTTTTCTCCTTAAACCATCTTGACTTCAGGCATTTTAATATCAATATCACCTTCAAGTTTTGGGGCTTTTTAATTTAACGTCAAAATCTGGGCTC